CCCACCAGGCAGCTGATTATCTGCTTCCTTTCCAGGTTAGTGAAGTTTGCAGTGATTATTTCCTAAAGTATTTTTTCTGGACCTCTCTCTCTCTTCTGGGAAACCTATAAAGTAATTATTATTTGTCTTCCTGTTTTCCCAGAGATCTCTTAGGACATTTTCGTTTTTTAAAATATTCCTTTTTCATTTTGCTGCTCTTCTGGGTGTTTTCTGTTACTTTGTCTTCCAGTTCATATATTAGCTCCTAATTTTTCCTCAGTTAGTTTATCTTCATTTCTTTATTGTCTTTTCCCAGAGTTTTGTTTTGCTCTTTCATTTAAACTTGTTCTAGTCGTTTCATTCTCCAGAACCATTTGGCCTGGTTCTCTGTGTTTACTTTTATGTTTTAAGTATTACTACTATTTCTTTTAGAATTGAGAGTTTGTTCTTATGCAGGTGATGTTGTGTGGAACTCTGGAGCACTGTCTCCCTTGCTTTCTTTGTTAGTTGCTCAAAGTGTGTTCCCTTTGTAGGCTCTACTCATCTTCCTGTTGTGAAAGGATACTGTTGTGGGCAGGGCAGCTAATCCTGCCAAGCAATGGCAATTTGGTGTGTTCAGCCTTGACCGGGGACTAAGGTATGCTCAGTGGTTGAAACTGTGGATTTAGCCTTGGCATATGGCTGCATGGTGTAACTGTGGAATGTGCACCAGTGTCTGGGCTAACTATCACATTGGTGCTTACTGTGATAGCCGTGGTGTGCAGTGCCCGCAGTAGCCTATGGTTTCAAGAGGGTAGCTAGCTAGGCTGCACTGGGGTTGCTGGGTTGTTCATCCTGGCACCTCCAGGGGTACACCCCTGGGACCTTGTGAATGGGGCTGAGGCTAGGTGGGCTTTGTGGGTTTGTGAAATTTTTATGCTTCCTACCAAGGACATATATCTCTTTATTAAAATATTCTTCTAAACAAAATGAAAAGAAATGTCTTGTGATTTATTTATGATGAGCCTAATAAAAATTTCCTCTGTACTCTTAAGTTTTAAGAATTTTTTTACTCTATTGTATTTCTCTCAAAGCAGAGCATTTAAACTAAAGTTAGAGGAGCATTTGTCTTCAGTCTGTCAGAGTAAAGTCATGTTAATGGATTTAATCTGGCCATTCTGAGGCCCAGACCTTCAGAGAGAAATGAAGGGCATATATTTAAAATAGAGTACTTAAATTAATCATAGTATTCTAATCATTTATAAAACAATATTTGTATTATGTTCAGTACAAAGATTCAAACACACACACATATGCCTTTAGGAGAAAGAAAATGCTCCTCATGAGGACCTCATATTTCTATTGGGATTATTAAGCAATATCATTTTTTTGTGTTTTATGAAGCAATATGATTTATTTATATACAGTAGTGTGATCTGTGTTTTTATTTAAATTCCATGAAGTTAGAAAAGGGGAAGTCTTTTTGAATTCCTTATTAAACAAAGTACAGAATTTGCTCATGTTTAAAAAGCAAAAAAAATAATATGGAATGAAACTTGAAATGTTAGTATTTTTTTATGAACTCAATTCTGCTAATGAAGTGAATCCTTCAAAATGACTTTGAATATTTGAACAATTAAATATTTTAAATGCCCTAATTTAAGATATTATGATGAATTTTGATTGACTTCATAAAGGTATGTATCAAGGGCACAATTTTCACATATTTGCCCTTGAATTATAGAGTGAAGAATGTTCTGGTAAATATTTCTATATGTGCCCGTATTCATGAACTGAGGGGCTTTAAAAGTTGTAATGCTTGCTATACTTTTTATACTTTTTATTTTTTTAAATGTATTTATTTATGCATACAAGAGCTGGGGTACAGGCTAGAGATATGGGGGGTGAGAAGATCCACCAGAGTGGGGAAAAGAACAGACAGACTGACTGAAATACACTGCTGAGGGGAGCAGCAGGCAAGACAGGAGAGGTCTGCTGCGCCATGTGGGTAGCACCCTGGCTGGCTGGAGATTGAACTCATGCTGCAGAGGCTGCAAATTGCTTTATAGTGTGGTGCTTAACCCCTTGCACCCCAGGAAGACCCCACTTTTTTTAATTTTTAAATTAATTCATGAACTTAAATATTTCACTGTCAGTCAAGTGTTAATGAACATTTTTGCTGTCTTTAAAAATTAAGTATTGTCAGTATTTAATTGTTACCTAAAAGATCAGAGGCCCTTGCATTTATTCTCCCTGGCTGTATTATCCAGTGGCATATTATTTAAATGTCTTCTGAACCATTTTGTATACTGTTTTTAAATCTTATTTTTTTTTTTTTTAATAGAGGCATGCTTTTTATTTATTTGTTTGCTGGTTTGTTTGTTTGTTTTGTTTATACATGCACTGGGTACAGTCAGAAGCGCGGGAGGGTGAGAGAATTCACCAGAGCCAGAGCGGGGAGCAGAGCAGGCAGAAGGACCGAAGTACACTGCTGAGGGGAGCAGCGGGCAGCAGGAGAGGTCTGCGCGCCATGCGGGACCCTCCTCCGGTGTCCGGGGAGCAGCTGGGGATCGAACCGGCGCCACAGAGGCCGCGCGCAGCTTCGCAACCCAGCGCTCAACCGCTGCGCCACCGGGGAGGCCCTGTTTTTAAATCTTAATCCATTCTTCCTTCAAAAGTGGTTTTTAAGATCTTATGTTTTGGCTTAAAATAAATATAAGAAAATTTTATTAATTCATGAATAGATCCTTTAGCTTCACTTTCCCTTTCAAGATATGTATTATTTTTTATATTGATAAATTAACTAATACATGGGAAAAGCTTAGCTAAAAATGACATGACAAAAAAGTATGACATTCACTTATTTCAAATCAGAGAAAATGAATAAAACATGAATTGCCCTACCACACATTGACAAAATAGTAAAAGTACATTTGGAAATTGGTCATTTACAGTGAGCTATAGATGATATGACCTCCAGTTCAAACTCACATTTGATAACCCCATACTGAAAATGTCATGTAACTGTTCAGTAACTCATGAGATCAGTTAGCATTTTAATTAATGTATAGTATTCACAGTGGAATACAACCTTCACTATATGTCACTGCTGTTTTCAGCCTGTGAGCTTTGTGTTTGTATGAAGACTATGAAGTATGTTTTTGCCTTGGTGATAAATTAATAGTTACTGGGAAAGGATTCTGGACAGTTACTGGGCAAGGGTAAAGGATTAAGCTATTTCTATCCATACTTGTAAATACTTGTAAACAATTGATTTCAATAATGAGGTCTGCCATTCAGCTTTAATAACCTAGGGTCACTAGAAAGCTTTGTTAGCCACATAACTCTCCCTGATACACTTAGGAATAGTTTCAATTTATACACATGCCCTTTTTAAATGTTGTGTCTGTGCTGAAATTTGTGTTGAGGGCCGGCCTATTAGGAAGAAATTGATGCTTTTAAAAATCTTAGAAGTTCTGGGTTCTCATCATTCAATGCAGAGTCCTGTTCTTTCATCTGAGATTATGTTGATCTTACATTTTCAGTATTAATACATTTTTGAAAAATAACTTTAGAAAGGAAAAATTGTGATAATGGCCTTTCTCTTTTTCATCCTTATTTAAAATATAAAGTAAATAGCATTATGTCTATTCTCTAAATTTTAATTTTTATTAAAAAAACTCTAGTAAATGCTCAGCGTATAATTTTTAATAGTAAATATTTTACATATTTATTTGAACTGAGAATTATCTGCTGTCAATTGTTCTAATAACTATTTGTGCTCCAGTGTGGTTTCTTAAAGGCAACAGGACAATACAAATCATGAATATGGTATTAGATTTGGCAAATATTATTAAGAGCAGTAATTATTTTCTTATGCCTTTTGTTCTTGTAAACTTTCTTAACACATGCACATAGTGCTTTTAAAACCATGAATAATGTTCAAATAACCATGGAGTCAGAATATTGCTAAACAAAAATAAACTCAATTAATAAAACCCATTCCATTTTTTTTTTTAAATCACTGTGATTCCCAATGTACATGTCTGGAAATCACTGTCTTAAATATTCATAGTTAGGTTTGTAGGAGAAGAATGGAAGGGCATCTTTGGGTTCTCTAAAAATTTCATCACCTAGTCTGAATTTATATGAGAGGCAGGGAACACCAGAGATGACCAAAGACGTCACACTGTGGAGTTTTATACCCTTACATTCCTAGCAAATAAAGTAGAATATGAGTTTCCTTAGGTAATCCGAACCCTAATTGCAATTATTTATAGACTGTTAGATTCAGACAAGTTATTTAATTTCAATGGGTCTCAAACCCATCATGTAAGATAGAAGGATAATCAGATCTACCTTACAAACATGTTATGAAGATTAAGTGTTAATGTTTTAAAGCTTTTGGAGTAGTTCCTCAGTTATAATAAGTGATGTGTAAATATCTGTATGTGAATTATTATATATATATATATATATTAAACCATAGCCTAGGAATGATTCATTCAGTAATTACAGTTTATGGAACTCTATACTTACTCAGCATTTTTGTCAGATTAATCTGATTTCATTGTTTAGTGGAAATTAAAAATTACATGGTTATGTTATAGTATGTGTAATGTGAATGCTGTCCATTGATTATCTTACTTTTTTCCTATAGCTATTAACGACATTGCTTTAAACTGATGACATTTGAAATGATATTACTAAAGCTCTTTACTCCTTAATTTTTCTAGGGATGATTTAAACAGGAAGATTTTTGGTTAAGTGTCTTGACCTAAGAAAACCCATGTTGTCAACATAATCATTAGTGTTCAAATTATTAAATAGTTTTTAATTTGCAGGTCTAATGCACTGTGGCAGAAGGCCACTGACAGTTTGGTGGTAGACATGATGTGGTATCACACTTTTGAAGAAGTTTGAACACATACAGCATTGTAAACCATGTTAGCTCAACTCTAAAAAGTGAGAAATAAGATTTGTATCCCTTTAGTATGTCTTACATTTTATGAACGTGTCTTAAATTTAATTTTCATTTACAGAAAATCTTGAACAACTTCCTGATAACATCACAAAGCCCAAAGCAATTGAAATGTTATTTACACTCTATCCTCCTCAAGGAGCCCATGTGCATGATAACACAAAACGACTTAAGTCAACTTGGCTGAGACCCATAGTGAATGGGGAAGAAGGGTACAAATATATAGGTAAGATGTTGAGCTTTTCTATTTCTTTTATTATGTCCTTTTATAGAAAAGAAGAAATGAGCCTTTACTTTATATAACTCTTACCATCATTTAGGTGGTGTGGGATAATACACAGACCCTATAGAAGACTTCCTGTACTTCCTAAGTGTTATGCCTAAAAATTGACAAAATGGCTATTTTGCACATTGGTGCCTCAACTAGGATAGTGGAAACACAATGTGTCTATCCTTCACCTGATGATGGTCATCTGAGTTGTTTCCCAATAAGTGACAACTCAAGAAAGTTGTTGTGAACTTTCATGTACGGGACTATGTATAGGCATATGCTTGCATTTCTTTTGACTAAACTGTTTTCTGAAGTGATTATGCTATCATATCTCCCATAAGCAAAGGCATGAGAGTTATATCTGCTCCAGAGCAATATCATTACTTAGCATAGTCAATCTTTCTAAGTTTAGCCATACTGTTAGTTACATATTGGTATTCGATTTTAATTTGCCATTCTCTAGTAAGTAAAAATATGCATCATCTTTTCATGTGTTTTGTCATTTGTATTTCTTCTTTGGTAAAATATCTTCAATTTTTGGGCCATTTATATATATATATATTTATTATTAAATGTTGGCAATGCCTTAGATCATCTGGATATAAATTCTTTAGAATATATATTCTTTGTAAATATTTTCCCTCAGTCTGTTGCTTGTCTTTTCTTCCTTTTAATAATATATTTTGAAGAAATGAAGTTTTTAATATTGATGAAGTCTTATTTACCACTATGTTGTTTTTAAGAGTCCTGGGGTGACTGTTACATCCAATATATGTTGGTATCACTTTTGATCACAAAGTTTTCCTCCAGCAATTTTTCAGTTTTAGATTTCATATGTCAGCATATGCTCTGTTTTGAGTTACTTTTTTGTGTATGACACAAGGTATAAGTTAAGTTCTTTTTTAGACAAAACTATTGCTATCTAAGTGTTCTACCACTATTTGTTGAAAAAACTATCCTTCTATGAATTAATTTTGTATTCTGAAAAAACCAAAAGGGTGAAAGAAAAGAACACATGAAAAGATGATGTGCATCATTATCCCAGGGAAACAAATTTAAACCACAATGGGTACTACTACTTTCCTAGTAGAATGACTAGTCTAACATTTTGAAATCTAGCAAGTCTGGTAATGATATGGAGTGACAACACTCACACGTTGCTGGTGGAGATGAAAGAAAATGTACAACCAGTTTCTAAATATCTTGGTACTTCTTTATAAAGTCAAATATACCGTAACTATAAAACTTAGTCATCCTACTCCTACCCAAGAAAATGAAAGTGTTTGTTCACACAAAAATCTATGTGTGAACATATATGATAGCTTTAATCATTATTGTCAAAAACTGGAGGCAACATACCTTCTTCAACTGGTAAGTGGATAAATAAAATGTGTTATGTTTATGTAATGAAATACTATTCAGCAATAAAAAGTGTAAACTGTTTATACACAAAATACATACAAAATGGATGAATTTTAGATGCATTCTACTGTGTGAATGAAGCTGAATTCAAAGGCTATGCATTGATTCCATTTAAATGGAAAGAAGCAAAACTATTAAAAGGAGAGAGATCGATTCTATGGTTGCCAGGGCATAGTGCTGCTGGAGGGTTTGCTGCAAATAGGCAACATGAGAGGTTTCTGAGAGTGATGGAACATGTATCCTGATCATGGTAGCAGTTCCAGGATTCTAATCTTAGTCAAAATGAAATGTACACCAAAAAGAGTGAATTTTACTGTCATGAAAAAATTAACAATAAACACAAAATGAAAAAGAATAATTTATACAAATGGAAAATAATTCATAAAAGATGTGCATCACTGTTTGTCATTTGGAAAATGTAAATTAAACCACACCTGCCATAATGACTAAAATTAAAACACTGAACATACCAAGGTGTGGCAAATATATGCAGCAACTGGGACACTAATATTCTGCCAGTGCAAATAAATGAAAATGGTGAAAACAAATTGTAAAATATCATATCACCAGACATACCAGTCCTAGATATTTAACTGAGAAAAGAAAGTGTATGTATCACACAAAAACTTTTACATATTCATCTTTTGTTGTAATCCAATCTAGAGACAATTCAGATGCCCATCTACAATGGAAAGAAAAACAAATTGTGATATATTCATGCACATTACTACTCATTTTATAAAAGAAAAAAAACTATTGATAGTATAGATACAACAATGTGACTGAATATCAAAAGAACTGTGCCTAGTATAAGAACATGATTCCATTTATATAAAAATCTAGAAAATGCAAACTAAATTATATGATGAAAGCAGCTCTATGGTTGACAGGGATGAGATGAGGAATGCAAGTGAAATGTGATGGATTATAAAAATTTTATTTGTGGGGGAAGATTTTAATAATCTTGATTGTGGTGATACAGATACATTGTACTTTGGTAATGTTTTGAAAAGATGTCTTTTCTTTACATTTAAAGACTAGCATTTTTAGAACTTATCTACAAAATCAAAAATTTAACAAAATCTCAAAAGTGCATTTAGTGCTCAGTTCTGATAGATAGATAGATAGATAGATAGATAGATAGACAGACAGACAGACAGACAGACAGACAGACAGACAGACAGACAGACAGACAGATAGATAGATAGATAGATAGATAGATAGATAGATAGATAGATAGGTAAATAGAGCATATCAACTGATAGGTAGACTTACTGAGAAGTTCTTAGATAGCCTAGAGGAAGAAGTGGAAGGAAGAGAGAGAAACTTATGGAAAATTAAACTGAAGTCTTCACATTGTATAAGATGAATCAAGATCCTGATTGTGATTTTCTCTTTGCAATATTCTACATGAAAATTTCCAGAATGTGACCCATAGCATTCAAAATTACTTGTATTTTTTCTTTAGACTCTCTTTTTTACATGTTTGGTTCAAGGAAAAAAAATATAAAGGAAATATGTTAAGTGGCATTATGTTCTAAGGGGAGGCTTCTCTCTTTCAAGGCTTTATGCTCTTTTCCCTTCCTGGTGAGTGACCAGGTCTGCACATCTCTTTGAATTACAGTTGTTATTACATTGATTGACAAGATAGTTGCAGCATTTGCCTTGAAAAAGATTAGTTTGTTACAAAAGTGCTTTCTGATACTCAGTGACTTCACAACTATAAACATTTTAGGGACGATAGCTCTAAGAATTTATTATGTGTTCCAATATTAACATTCCCAATGTAGGCACTCCTGCTTATTGAGTTCACTCTTTATCTTTAGAGATGTTTTATCAGCAAGAGCTGAGGAATAGTTAATAGAGTTACTGAATGCTTTATAAATGACATGTATTGCTAACAAATTATGTAGTATTAGGACCATACATATACCAACAATATTTTATATATTGTATTTTTACATAGCATAATTTCTAAGCTATCTTAAATGCAATTGTATTGCTGTATGTCATATTTTCAAATTATTTAATATAGATAAAATACTTCTTCTGAATCATACTTTTTAGAAGCTTAAAATATTAACAAAGTTAAAGAAGAAGTCTTTATTTTTTTTTCCAGGACATAAATCTTGCCAAATTGATTTTCAGACAAGTTATCTTGAAAGGCTAGTCTTTTACTATGTGTTTGGTCATCTTTTCCTATAAGTTGTCTGTTCTAGGGCTACCCAACCCTCTTGCCTATCACAAATATGTTGAACTTGTTCTTCTCTTTCCTTAAACTTTTGTGACCTTGGTGGATTTTCAGCCTGGAAACTAAGGAATATCTCTGACCCTATAACTCCTGGAATTCTAATAGGCATGCCTTGAAAATTGTGGGCTAGCATTATGTTTTAAGAAAATCATTTAGGGAATACTAATGAATGATTAAATTACTTTCTCAAGCCATTGGTCCATTCTTTTTTTTTAAAGATTTATTTATTTATGCATACAAAATCTGGGGCACAGGCCAGAGATGGGAGGTTGACAGGATTCACCAGAGACAGAGCTGGGAATAGAACACAGACTGACCGAAGTACACTGCTGAGAGGAGCAGCAGGCGAGACAGGAGAGGTCTGCCTTGCCATGTGGGTAGCTCCCTGGCCAGCCAGGGATTGAACTTGTGCTGTAGAGGCCGTGGATTGCTTCATAGTGGTGCTTAACCCCTTGTGCCAACAAGGAGGCCTCATTGGTCCATCTGGGGTACAGGCCAGAGGCATGTGAGGGTGAGAGGATTTACCAGAGACAGAGTGGGGAGCAGAACAGGCAGACGGACCAAAATACACTGCTGCGGGGAGCAGCAGGCAAGACAGGAGAGGTCTGCCATGCCATGTGGGTATCTCCCTGGCTGGCCGGGTATCGAACTGGCACTGCAGAGGCTGTGGACAGCTTCACAGCGCAATGCTCAACCTGCTGCACCACTGGGGAAGCCCTGTATAAACTCTTTAGACAGGACATATTATCTTTACATATTGATAGATATAATTTGCTAAACTTTCCGTAGATGTTTTGTATCAGGACTATCCATTTCTCTCTTTTTCTGGGATGTCTTTGTCTCTTTGGATATCAGGAAATGCTGACCTGATAGAATTAGCTTCTCTCTCCTGTGCTACCAAAAAGTATGTTTTAGCTGGTGTCTTCTCCTCCTTCAATATCTGATGGAAATCACCTGTCAATTCTTCTAGACTAAGGGTGTTTTTTGTTTGTTGGTTAGTTTTTATGGGAGCATTTCTAATCACAATGTCATTATTCTACATAAAGGTAATTAAAATTTCCTGTTTATTTTTGGATGATTTGGCCATCTGTATATTTTAATGAATTGCTCATATCATCCAGGTTGTCAAACTCATTAAGCACAATATTATTCATTATATTCTGTTATTACTAATATACATCTGTAGTATCTACAGCGTTGCATTTTCTTAAATTCTTGAGAGTGATATTTTCTGTTGCATCTCTCTTTGATTTGTTGTCTCTTGGTAGAAGCTTATACATCT